TGTTTGGTACAAAATGGTGGAAGGAGGAATAGCGAAAGCAGACAAAACAGAGTTCACAGAGTGTTGGAGGACGACATGGAAGACTCCTTACATCATGCGCCTCGCTCTCTCCGCCGGCATCGGTGGTCTTCTCTTCGGCTACGACACCGGAGTCATCTCCGGCGCACTCCTCTTCATCAGAGAGGATTTCAAGGAGGTTGATAGGAAAACATGGCTCCAATCCACCATCGTCAGCATGGCAGTCGCCGGAGCCATCGTCGGAGCAGCCGTCGGAGGTTGGATCAACGACAGATTCGGCCGGAGGATGTCGATTCTCATCGCCGACGTCCTCTTCCTCGTCGGAGCCATCGTCATGGCATTTGCTCCTGCTCCGTGGGTCATCATCATCGGAAGAATCTTCGTTGGATTGGGCGTTGGTATGGCTTCCATGACCTCTCCTCTCTACATCTCTGAGGCTTCTCCGGCCAGAATCAGAGGAGCACTTGTCAGCACCAACGGACTTCTCATCACCGGAGGACAATTCTTCTCTTACCTCATCAATCTAGCCTTTGTACACGTATGTCAAAACCGTCTTCTATCTTTGAGCACTTGTCTTGTGTATTATCAACCAAACCAAAATTGTTTGTCTGTGGTAATGAACAGACTCCCGGGACATGGAGATGGATGTTGGGAGTTGCAGGTGTCCCGGCGATTGTTCAGTTTGTACTGATGCTGTCTCTGCCAGAGTCTCCACGGTGGCTTTACAGGAAGGACAGGATCGCTGAATCGAGAGCGATCCTTGAGAGGATCTATCCGGCAGACGAGGTGGAGGCGGAGATGGATGCGCTTAAAGAGTCGATTGAGGCTGAGAAAGCGGACGAGGCAATCATCGGAGACAGCTTCGTAGCCAAACTCAAAGGAGCCTTTGCAAACCCTGTCGTTCGACGTGGACTCGCCGCTGGTATTACAGTGCAGGTTGCACAGCAGTTTGTCGGGATCAACACCGTCATGTACTACAGTCCCTCCATTGTGCAATTCGCCGGTTACGCCTCCAACAAGACAGCAATGGCCTTGTCTCTCGTCACTTCAGGTCTCAACGCGGTGGGCTCGATCGTGAGCATGATGTTTGTGGATCGCTACGGTAGAAGGAAGCTGATGATCATCTCCATGTTTGGGATCATTGCATGTCTTATCATCTTAGCCACAGTGTTCTCACAGGCTGCCATTCACGCCCCAAAGATCGACCCGATGGAGTCCACCACCTTTGCGCCTAACGCTACTTGTCCAGCGTTTGTCCCGCTCAGAGCCGCAAACGCTCCTCCCTCGAGGTGGAACTGCATGAAGTGTTTGAGGTCGGAATGCGGATTCTGCGCCAGCGGAGTAAAGCCGTACGCACCAGGAGCATGCGTGGTGTTGTCGGACGACATGAAAGCGACATGCCACTCGAGAGGAAGAACATATTTCAAAGATGGGTGCCCAAGCAAGTTTGGATTCTTAGCTATAGTGTTTCTGGGATTATACATCATAGTGTATGCACCAGGTATGGGCACTGTCCCTTGGATTGTCAACTCCGAGATCTATCCGCTCAGATATAGAGGCCTTGGCGGAGGAATAGCCGCTGTCGCCAATTGGGTGTCCAACCTCATTGTCAGCGAGAGCTTCCTCTCACTCACCCACGCCCTCGGCTCCTCCGGGACATTCCTTCTCTTTGCCGGCTTCTCCACTGTAGGGCTCTTCTTCATATGGCTGCTTGTGCCCGAGACCAAAGGCCTTCAGTTTGAGGAGGTAGAGAAGTTGCTAGAGGCCGGGTACAAGCCCAGTCTCTTGCGGCGAAGGAACAAGTCCAAAGATGATGATACAGCTTAAGATGATGATGATCACTTTCTCTCTCTTTTTTTTTGTTTTGTTTTGTTATTACAACTTGGTTCCAGTTTCTAAATTGTATGAAATCGGAAGCAAATACTACTTTTTTTTTTTAAAGCACAAGTTTGTGTAAAGCCAAAGCATCAAGTGAGCAAAGTGAAATATCTACTTTTGAGACATAAGTGTGAATGGTGGGACAAACTACTGTTTCAACGCAAACCATTACTATTATAAGACAAGAAACCAGATGGTCTTATATGCTGACTCACAAATGATCTACCAGATCCACCGTCTCTG